AAGTGGTTCAGAGAATCCTGTGTTTTTAAAGTCCCTTTTGAGCACCTATTATTTGCCACTCTACATTGAAAGCCCAACAGACATGTCTGTCCTGCCCTCACGGAACTTAAGTTCTAGAGGGGAAAACAGACCCATATCGGATGATCACACAAATAAATGTAATATTCACAATCTACATACTAAGCACTCTGACAGACTGATTATGATACAGGAGTCTAGTGGGGAATTTGTCTTGAATGGGAGACAGGGCCGCTGCCCTGGGGAATGAGTGGTACTTGAAATCCAAAGAATGAGTAGGAGTTAACAACTTAAGCAGGACTTGGAAGGAGGGAAGCTAGAGAGCATGGTGTTAGAGAAGTAGGGATTGAGAATTTGGATAACAGAGGAGTCAGCTGTCTAACCAAGGAGGACGGACAGCCACTGTTTTTACTCGAGTAGGCAGAATCTAACAGGAGGGTGAAAATAACCTCAGTCAAGCAAATAACGATCAACTGTGTGGATCTCTTAAGAAGAGAGAATATTCATGGAGATGGGGAGAGAAGAGAAATGTGTAGGTTAATTAGGAGATAGTTTGGATAGTCTAGAAAAAAAGACTGGAATTGTGGTAGTAGCAGTGAGAGTAGAAGACAGGAAAGGAAGGGATACATAATCTTTGGAGGAAGGCAGAATATCAGTGAAAACTCTGCCCCATAACTTGCTGTGAATGGAATCGTAACTCAGGATTCTTAGCTCAGTGTAATGGTGCACGCCTGTGGTCCTAGCTACTCAGGAGGCTGAGGTGGGAGGATTGCTTGAACCTGAAGGTCAAGGCTACAGTGAGCCATGATCTCACCACTGTACTTCAGCCCGGATGACAGAGCTAGACTGTGTCTCTTTCCAAAAAAAGAAAAAAAAAAAAAGATTCCTTATCAGTGGAATGGAGAGCTGATTCCGATTTCTAGATCTGTGACTTTAGGTAACATAGTAAATTATCTCTACCTTAGTTTCTCCTCTGTGAAATAAAAGTAATAGTAGTAACAACTTTATGCTATTTTCTGAGAACTAAGAAGGCTGATGTTTATAAACTCTCTGGCACAATGTCTGGAAAATGGCAGATATTCAATCCATCTAGCTATTATTATAACAGGTAATAATTTACTATTGTAAATAAATAAATTAAAATCCTGAGGTTTGGTAGAGGAGGAATAATGAGGAGGAGATAGTCCTTCTCCCATCTGTGTGAGGGTTTCTTTTATGTTCTTAGTTGGGGTCTCTCCTCTAAATCCACTGCACCCAAACCCCAAATTATCAAGTCCTTGAGCACAGGGACGCTGCCATCCACTTCCCACCACTTAAGAGGCATTGCCTGGCTCCAAAGGGATGGTTTTTGCTTAGTGATGATATTTGAAGCTGTAGGAGGGCATGAAATTGCCAAATTAAAGAATGAAGAGCTTGGCCATGGGAAACACCTGTATTTATTTACAGTGGAGAGAGAGAGGAGAGAGCAGTTGCTGCCAGAAAAACTAGGATAGTCAGTCTCTACAGCCCAGGAATGAAGGAGAGTTAGTGCTGCAAGCTGCATCAGAGTCTGGGAGGACAAGAAGACCAGAGAAAAGGACCAGATGGGATGAGAACATTTCCTCTCAGAGAGACAGTTTCAGGCACGTGTGGGGCAGAATCCGGATTGTAGAGTTAAAATGTAGGTGGTGGTGAGGAAGTGGAAGCACTGGTTGCTGGGTGCATGGATTTCTCTTTCAAGAAGTCAGTGGTAAAGGTAAGCAGAAGGAATAATTGCTTTCAATAAGTTGCAGACTTAAGAAAATTTATGGCTGTTGTTATGTTTGTTCTTGGGGAATTGGGGCATGCTGATCATGTTCACGGCTGCCTCCATTCACCTCAGGTCTGAGTGCCTTCAACCCCCTTCTGGGCACTCGGAACAAGACTAAGCTGTATGTGGTACATTCTGTGAATGACAAACTTTGAAAATGCAGGTATGAAGAAAAGAGTAGACAGTTTCCAATAATGGAAATTGAGGAAAGAGTTACAGGGCACCCTGGCATCCTTGTTAGGCTGGGTCCTGGAGGTCTGCTTTACCCAGACCTGAATACTAATCTCTGCATAGATAGGTGGGAACAGTCTGACTGAACTGTCTGTTCCTTTCTGCATACCTGCATTTTCAAAGTGTGTAGTTCACGGAATGTAACAGCTTGGTCTTGTTCCGAGTGCCCAGAAGAGGGTTGGAGGCACTCAGACATGAGCTGAACGGAGGCAGCCGTGAACATATTCACAAGAATGAAAGTATATTCATTTTAACTCTTCCCAACTGTCTCCTTGTAATGCATGTACGTTTTTGAGGCTTAACTGACTTTGATAGTTTTATGATAATTTATGTCTTTGCATGTGGGTGAGTTGGCCAGTGATCACATTGGTTCTATTTTGTTGTGAATAAATAGTATGTCAAAGTTTTATGCTGTTTCAAAAATGTTATTTAGAATAAAACTTCCTTTGAAGCCGCAGTAGTCTTACTCAAAATATTTATTTAGGCCATATTGTTTAAATATATATAATTCCCTTAAGGGACAATTGTAGTCTATATAAATCTGAATTTAAAACAAATAGACCTTCTGGAATTCATAGAAATACAAAATGGATATTCTAGTGCTTAAGTGTTTATATACAAAAGGAGTTGAGGTGTTCCAGTGTTTGTATGTTTAGGTACAAAAAGAATAGAATTCACAAAAAGGAATGATGATCTAAAAAGTTGAATTCCCAAATATACCAGATGTATAAAGTTATTTAGGAAGACAAAATATTTGAATCATAAACTAATTCAGAGTAAGTGAATGAATGATTCAACCAGTAAAAAAAAAAAAATACACATAAAAATAAAGCAAATCCACAGTCTCTTAATTTGTTCTGATCTTAAATTTGTTCTGGGTATAATTAAAGTTGATGAAAGTGTGCTTTAAACAATACAAAGTTAGGATATTTTTATAAAATAATTAAATATTATCAAATTAATGATTGAAATATTTGTGTCTTTTATGCTAGAGTTTATATTAACTGTCCTTGAAATACCATCTCACTTTATTGGCCCTCCCTTGATTTTGGTAAAGCAGAGGTATTTTTTTTAAAGCATTTATGAAAGCTTTTATTATTGCACTTCGAATTATATAAATGTTTTAATGTCAACATAGTTCCCGTATCTGAATTTATAATTAGATAATTTGTAAAGTTCCTTGTTTTTAGTGGAAACGCTGTCCTCTAAGCTCTTTTTATTTTGGTCACCGTACAATCAAGTTGTGAGTTCATTAACTAATGGACATGTTATTTAAGTAAACTGTTTCTAACTTGGGATGTTCTGATACATTTCTCAGTCAACAAATTATTGAAATTGAAATAAGAACTTCTGGAAGAAATATTTCTCCTTATAGTCTACAAATTAATCACTTCTATATACAACAAAGTTTACAACCTAGCTACAATTGGACCATATTTGGAAGAGAGATCCTGAAATATCAGGGAAGATTATACAATTAAATATTTCCCTAGTGTTAAACAGAAGCACAAATTAAAGATGGGGGTGAAGTATGAATGGAGTCTACAGTGAGGACTCCAACATCTGAAACCAAATAGGGATCCATAGATTTAATGTTAATTAATAGAAGAGAAATATTTTACACGTGCCTGATCCAAAGCATAGGGAATGGTAGAAGCCCACTCAGTCTTATTCTCTGTGAATGGAATTTGTCCCAATTACGTTAACAATATCCAAAATACTGCCTGTTACAAATGAGACAGTCTGTATAAAAATCCACATGGTTCCAGAAGTATGAGCATCTGGAGCTGTGTAAGTGAGCATGGCTTTCACGCACGGAGCTGCAGTTTCAGGTATCCCCATGCCCACCCCTCCACCCCAGAATCAGTAATCATTGATTGCATCTAAATCTGCAGAGAGATCTTTTCCTGGCAGTTCAAGTAGTTACAGTAGATTGTTAATCTGCGAATGATCAGACTAAATCCCTTCTGTCTTCAGAATTTCCATGCAAATTAGAATTAACTGTATGAGGTAAATTTATTAACTGTAGTCCGAGAGCATAGGTCAGCTTCAGCACAATTCTTAAACATACGTTTTTATTCATAAAAAGTTACCCTCCATTTATGCTAATGTTCTATGGATTCATTTTATAATATTAACTGATGAGATGGTTTTTTAAAGTAGTTATAAGGAAATGAAAGATTTTTAAGTGTGTTTTTCAGTTTTCTGCAATACAGGTGTACTGTTCCAAATATAAAATATTCACAGAAATGATTTTTTCTGTTCCATGTCTGATCTAAAACCAAAATTTAAACTTATTTTCTTATGTCACCATTGAAATAAGAGGAGGACTGTTTTGTATTTTTCAAAACAGGAACGAAAATGGAATTAATAAAGAAAAAAATAAGGAATTGGGATGTGATAAATAATAACAGAAATATGTTAGGTCTTACTAATCACAGGAGTGTCTTTAAAATATACTTGAGAGTTTGGCACAACATTTAATTGAAATTCAGCAGAAGAAAAGTAGTATTCTAATAATAATATTTGTGTGCCATATTTTACTTTCACAGACATTTCACTTGAATATTATTTTGTTACAATGTATTTTTTGCTTTATTGACAAGTGGATAAATTTAAGTGGAAATATATATTAGCAGCAATATACTTTTTCCTCTTTTGGATTTGTGATGTCATAAATCCAGTATCTTATAGAATATGTAATCTTTTATTTTTATTCTAAGTTTGTAATCTAAAGGTTACTATGAATGACCTAAAACATTGTATTAGTGAATGAGCTTTGTTTTCTTTACCTTTTTTTATAAGAGATTGTGGCGATATCTAAATTTATTTTTAAAACCCTCCAGGCCCCTGCCATCATAAAGCCTTTAAAAATGGAAGTGGGCATTATTTATTAAAATGGTGAAAAGAGTATAGTATCTTTGAACAGATGCTGACCTTTTTTTCCTCCTTTATTTTTCAGGCCATCCGTTGCACACTGGTAAACTGCACATGTGAATGTTTTCAGCCAGGGAAGATTAACCTGAGGACTTGTGATCAGTGTAAACATGGCTGGGTGGCACATGGTGAGGAAAATCTGGGCTTTTCTTCCCGTTCTTATTATGTTCATGTTCAAGTGTGTGTGTGTGTGTGTGTGTGTGTGTGTGTGTGTGTCTGTCTGTTTAGAGCAGTCACTGGCCTGGAGAAAAGAGAGGTCAGCTATGCTCCAAGTGTTAGTTAAGATTCAGCCTGTGGCTCTCAAACAGCATATTCTCAGCTCCAAGAAGCAATGCTAGGCAAGCAGCTCTCAGCAGAAGGCCAAGACGTTTATAGGACAGTTGGGCTGTGGAGTTCTTACTGAGCATGGGCACAGCCAGCAAACACCAGGCCTGATGGAAACTCAAACATACCACAGTTGGCCTTTCAGGGCCTGGACCTCAGAGGGAAGCTGGCAAATCCTCTTTGCTTGAGAACTCCTCGATGACTGCTCACCCTTGTCGTATGTGCTAGGGGCTGAGTTTATCCTTCTAGATGTTAAATGTTGTATGGTCTCAGGTGGATGAGAGAGTGAACGGGAACATTATTTGGCTGGTATCTGAAAACATAACCTGTAAATACTCCCTTTCAGTGTGCATGGGGATTGGAGGTGGTCGACGTAGGTAGAGTGTGAGCTCTGTGTAGGTGTGTCCCGGGGTGGGGAGACCCCACGCGAAGGATATGAGTGTTGAGGCTTTTTGCCAGGTGCACAGAGTCGTTCTGTCGGTGTGCCCTGACTGAGCGTTCAGCATATTCCTGTGTATGGTTTACGTTTGTTCTGTTTAAGTAAAAGGAGACTTGGAAATAAGCAGAGTTTTTTCTTTTTTTTTTTTTTTTTTCACCTCCCAGACTGTAGAATTTAAAAAGATAGGTAATGTTTATGAAAAGAAATCCTGGCTTGAGATTTTTTGATAGCCCCGGGTATTGCCTCTTAAGTGGACATATTCTTCATTCCCAAGCGGTGCCAGACATCCAGTGGGTTGTATTTTTATAAATGTCATGTTATTCTAGCAAGATCTGAGGTAACGACACCGGGCCATGCCTTGAAATGCTTTTAATTTATCATGTACCTTGCTCGTGAGGGTGTGTATGCTGGAGTTGTGGGGACATTTCAGCCATGTTTCTGTGAGAGAGAGTACTCTGAGAGGAATACCCGGGAAGGGGTATGTTTCCACCAGGCAACGTCAATCCTGCAATCCTTCATGCCCACAGGGATAGAGCGCTTTCCTGCTTTATTAACAAGGCCCCAAATCAGCAACAATTCTCAGTCCGGTCTTGAACAACAGACGAGCTGCAGTTAGTTCTGCAGTCTCTTTATGTTACTACATTCAGTGATTTCGTCTCTCGTCCTATATTAGTTTGCTGGGGCTGCCATGACAAAATACCACAGGCTGGGTGGCTTAGACAGCAGAAATTTATATCCTCAAGGCTCTGGAGGCTAGAATTCCAAGATCAAAGTGTTGGCAGGGTTGGTTTCATTCTGAGGCTTCTCCTCCTCGTTTGTAGATGGGCACCCTCACATGGTCTCTCCTCTGTGGGGCATGCCCTGGTGTCTGCAGCCTCCACCTCCAGGGTTCAAGCCATTCTCCTTCCTCAGCCTTCTGAGTAGCTGGGATTATAGGCATGAGCCACCACGCCCAGCTTATTTTTGTATTTTTAGTAGAGATGGGTTTTCACCAGGTTGGCCAGGCTGGTCTCGAACTCCTGACCTCATGATCTGCCCTCCTCGGCCTCCCAGAGTGCTGGGATTATAGGTGTGAGCCACTGTGCCCAGCCCCGGTGTCGTCTTGTGCGTCAAATTTCCTCTTCTAAGGACATCAGTCAGATTGGATTAGGGCCCACCCTAAGGGCCTCATTTTAACCTAATCACCTCTTTAAAGACCCTATATTCAAATATAGTCACGTTCTGAGGTAGTAGGGGTTATGACTTCAACATAGGAATTTTGGGGGAACAGAGTTTAGCCCATAACAGTTCCTAAATAAACTTTTTTTCTCTGAAGAAGTGTTGGTTTTGCCAGGTAATAGGTACAGAACTTATGTCCTAAACCCATCAGAATTGTAAGAATATTGAAGGCAGTATGGGTGTAGACTATTCTGAGGTCAAATCTTGGCTCTGTCACTTCATGACATGTTAATATCGCTGGACTTCAGTTTTCTTGTCTGTAAAATAGGATTAATAGTACCTACTTTACAGTCTTATTATGACAAAGAGAAAATATATGAAGCCTTTCCAAATAATGCATATTAAAAGTACAATGGACAGTAGATGAGCAGTAAAGGGGAGGCCAGTCATTAATCAAAGGGCTTTTCATTTATTCACTCTCATTTTTGCCAAAGCTATCTTATATTATCATTATCTATCTACTATGGTAGCCTTGTGAGTGTAAAAGTTAACTGTGTCACCAGTTTGTTTTCTCTATTTAATGTCCATGTGCATATTACATTAGTAATGTAAAAGTAAAAGCAATGTTTTTTCCTTCTTGAACAACATAAATTATTCCTGGCCAGTGATTGTTTTGAGGACTTTCTGAAGAATGTCATTTTTCACCCAACTTGAATAAGATGTTTCTGTTACACCAGACTGTGCTTTTCCTACTGTACCATTAAAAATTCTATGTTTCTGGGATACTAATTTTGGTGTTTCTCAGACCTTAGTAAAATGAATTCTAATTATTTCCCTTATGATTATCACCTTGACTTCTCTTTTCCCACAACAGGGAGATATCTGTATATAGCTCAAAATACATACACCCAGGCATGCGAATTCCACACTTTCCCCATTCGTGAGGCCAAATACAGCAGTGAGGGGTTGGCCTCTAGCCTTGGAGTTGGCAGCGGGATGAGAGCACCCACTCTTTTTGCCCCTAGCATTACAACTAATTGCTTCATTCCACCGCGCCTGCACAGAAACCCTGAAATCATGTCTCTAGTTACTTCTGCTCAGAGGTGAAACACAGCATTCTTTCCGGCTGCCTTATACTGTGCAGTGTCCTGGGTGTGGGGCAACAAGGAAGTGACTTGGGTTTTCTAGTGTGTAATTTTCCTCTGAAATGCATGGAGCAGCAACAAGACTACCAAAATACATTGCCCAGAATGGTTTCATAGTAGCACTGAATGCATTCTACCTGTCATTATGTCAATAAAAGAAAATTTAATATCTGCTGCTAAAAAATAACCAAATGCCAAAATCATGTATTGTCTCTAAAATTAATTTTTAGAAATTTGTTGACCTCCTTTCTTGAATAAATTTTCCTTGTTAGCAGCATTTTCAGTTCATTCCTAAGATGTTGGATTTCATGGGTCATTATATACCATATCTACGCACATATGTGTGTCCCTGTATATGTACACACACATAAACACTCATTCTCTCTGTTGACTTAGATTGCTTATTAAAGCTGCTTAAGTTGTTGACATTAGCTGCTTTACAAAAATCTTTAGAAATGTGTTTTAAAAATAATTAAAGGCTGGGCGTGGTGTGTCTGACAGCCTATAATCTCAGCACTTTGTAAGGTTGAGGCAGGTGGATCACTTGAGCCCAGGAGTTCAAGACCAACCTGGGCAACATGGCAAAATCTTGTCTCTACAAAAAGTACAAAAATCAGTCTGGTTCAGTTGCATGTGCTCTCAGTCCCAACTACTTTGGAGGCTGGGGTAGGAGGTTTGATTGAACCCAGGAGGTCAAGTCTGCGGTGAGCTGAGATCACGCTACCACTTTCCAGTCTGGGTGACAGAGCAAGACTCTGTCTCAAAAATAAATAAATAAATAAATAAATAAATAAATAGTGATTAATTCATTATACTGCAACACCTGGGTTTTGGAATTACTAATACTTAGTGAGCTGTGTTACTTTTCACAGAGTATTTCCTTAAAATCCTTAGCACTATTGAGTTAAGGGGGGAAGGAATATCAGAGCAGTTCTGAATATCAGTAGGTATTTCCCACTAAATTAATAAAGGATTTCCTACCTTACCACCACCCTGTCCACATTAAGGAATCTTAGCTCTTTCACTCTGCTAATAGAAAGCAGGGCTTATTGAATTTACTTAAACTTTTTTTTTTTTGGTAAAAGATGACCATACCTAGTCTGTAATATTTTAGTTGGTGGGCCAGCAATGACTCAGAATTTCTAATTTTGTCAAGTCTCTGTAAAAGTACTCCAGTTTACTGCCACTACTTCACTGAAATACTATAAATACTATATTTTTTACTTTCCCTTGTTTGCTTTATCTTCTCTGTGCTTTTCCTTCGTTTGCCTAAAAAGATCTGAGCATGGCTTGAAAAACAGTAACAACGAAAGTTTTCTAGAAGTTCAACTCTTTTTGGTTCAGAAGTGGCAAATAAGATTAAGATACCAGGGTAAGAGCAGTAATGGGCTCCTTTTCTGGTGATGTAATTTTTTTTTTCTTTTTACCCTTTGCCTCCACACTAGAGTAGTAATTTGGCCATTCACAGAATTCAGACTTCAGCCAAATATTTTACAGAATATTAAAAATTAGCTGGTACAACTAGAATACACTCAGCATTGGGTACAGGTGGAAGTGAGTCCTACTTACTTTTCTCCCTTGATGAATACCTGCTTCTGATGGGAAGCATTACCAATAAGAGTTTGCTGTCTTTGTGAAAAAAACAGGAGGCATGATGTAAAAGTTGAGGACTGCTGCACTTAACCTTTTTTATTGTTTAATGTTTGCAAGTTAGTTTTAATGTCCATAGTTTAGATGAAGACTTTATTTCTAAACCATTAAGATGAAGGTAAATAAAACAGTAAAAATAAGAAAGAGAGCAAACTGAATTCTAAGCGGTTTTAGGAAATATTTAATGATAATCCAATACAACTGGAAATTTGTTTTATCCCGTGATATTTGATTTGTGTGTTTGATAAAAGAGGTGGGCAGATTTTAGAAAGGTAATTCATTTAGAATTTTTTTTAAAACTAGATCAGTAACCTTTACTTCGATGAAGCTCATTTGTTAAGACTATCTCTTTTGGAAAGAAAACAAAAAAATAAAAATAAATAAAAAAACAATTCCACTGTTTCCTAGGTAT